TTTGAAAATTATCACTTGCTGTTTACCTTCTTGCTTTGTTACAAGGTATTTTTGATGTTCATGTCCTGTTTGCTCCAACCCTTTGTGACTTATCTTATTTCTGCATGAGTGGGTATTTTGTGAAATACTCTGAACTCTGGTCAAGGAATGCCTCTTTCAAAAGACCCTTTTCGTAAAAAAGGTTCCATTACAGTACATGTTTTTCAAAGTGATGGAGGTTTAGAGTTGCTTGTTTCTGTTGGATGGATAAGAATTCATGTGTGAAATGTCCTGGTTAAAAAAAAGGTTTTATTTACTTCCACCTCCCAGAAAACAAAGACTGTAGTCCTCAAAGCTTTCGTCTATAAAGTATATCTGATCCTTAATTTGTTGTTCTGTGTCCTTTGAAAAAATGCACACATTACCACAGGTTTCCAGGGTTGATGTGACTGCTGGTCCTTTGGCCTCAGGCCAGGCCAGCTGCAATTTCTAGAGGGTCAGTTCTTTTCAACACTAGCTGTCCCACACTGGTCAGTAGACTGGTTTTTTCTGAGATCTTCCCCTTGTATGCCTTTGAATGGATTTTATGTTGTTCAGTCTTGTAATAGTTCAAATATGTACAGTTGGCATTTCCCTTTGCCCAGTAAACCTCTCATCCCAGTGGGTTATTAGGATAGCCTTGCTATGAAGACATTGGCTCATTACTTAAAAATCCTGGGATTGTTTCTGAAAATGTAAAAAAACTGTGTCTCCTGTCATGATGTCTGCCATATTGCTGAAATCAGTGTGTGACAACTTGATTCTGGGCTCAAATAGGTCCCCAGCAACCTATGCTGGTTGCAAGAGGCAACAGATTCAGTGACTTGTTTTATGGCATGTCAACTCTGAATCCATGGGTCGCTGCTCACAATATCGATCACTGGATTATCTTGTCCAGACTCGATTATTTACAGGTAGCTGTCATATAACTGGAATGTTGCTGAGTAGGGTGTAAAACAACAAACACAAATACAGCTTATAAATTATTGTACATATCATAAACAGTACAATTTGTCCTGCCAGTAATTTTTCATTTAGTTATTGTTGATGGTCTTGTTTCAAAAGTCATCTTTGAGCTAAAATCGTAAAGTGACACTACCCAACATTTGTGTCTACACAATACTCTTTGATTGTTTCAAGACCCAAGATATAAAAGGAGTTTTACTGTTTATTGATCAGAGTTCCAAGACTGCTGTTATGTATGCACCCTGACATATTAGTTGTTTTCTCTATCCTGAACTGTTGACAGTAATTACTGCAAGGAACATGGCCTGATTTATTTCTTGGAGTGTTATAATCTAGAATATTTGAACTGATTTCCTGTTTATGGTCAATGAGCATGAATATAGAATTCTTCAACCAAACACAATTTCTATTTTAAATCATCACACTTTGTTAGTGTGTACAAATAGCTTAGAAATCTTGTCCATCTTAAGTTCTCTCTTTTGAGAGGAACAATAACATGGTTGATCGTACTCCGGAATTGTATGTCCTCATTTAATATTGATAGGGTTACATTTCCATTAGCTGTGTCACGTAGGTTTTGTGTGGCTGTGATTGTAGTTCGAAGGATTTCCTTTCAATAGAAGCGTTGTATTTTCATTTCATTAAACTTGTAGCATCACATCAAGTGCCACTCAACTTTATTGCTTGGACTTGTAAGAAGTTCCAAAATCATGATTTCTGAAAATAGCTTTTGAGAAGTCTTTCTATTTTCATTCTAGCCAAAAAGTGCCAACGTCTTTGGCTTAATAACCAGAGTAAGCCCACTTCTATTGTAGTGGAGGCTGAGGTCTAGACATAGCTATGTATAAGGTAAACAAGGAATGTTTTCTTGTTAGCTAGTCATGAATTCTATTTAGATCAGTCAAAATTGCAGGTCAGTTTTGCATTCAAGCAGGTTGAACACAGTTCAAAGATTTGTGAATCCTTGTTAGTTCTAAAATCCTCCAAAACTACCATGCTGCATTTGAACATAGATACCCAACCCGTGAACATCCGGGATGGAATAGGGCTATAGCAACCCATGCTTGCTGTAAGAGGCGACTAACGGGATCGGGTGGTTAGGCTCGCTGACTTGGTTGATGCATGTCATCGTATCCCAATTGCGTGTATCGATGCGCATGATATCAATCACTGTATTGTCTGGTCCATACTCGATTATTTACAGACCGCTGTCATATAGCTGGAATATTGCCAAGTGCGGCGTTAAACAATAAACAAGCAAAAATGGATGCCCATTACAGACCTGTTATACTGACTCCAGGCTGGCCTGTCTTTCTTTTAACCCCTTATTGCAGAGTACCATTTTTTAACATCTTTTTGTGTGACTCAGCCAGGGGATTGAACCAACAACCTTTTGCTCTCCAGGCAGACTCTCTATCAACTACAACATGGAGGCTGTCATGTATTGACTAACCCGACCTTGGGCCCTGTTGTGTCCATCAAGGCTTCTGAAATGAAATCGACAAAAGTATTTGCAGTGCCACATTAAACATTTTCCCACACACAGAAGCACGATAGACATAACTTTGTGTCGTCTCTCTTTTGTGGAGGTGTTATAGTGTAGGGACTGGGTGTACATTGATGCATGTATTACTGACCGTTTGTGGGCGTTGCCAAAGCAAATACGTCTCTGTTGGGGATTATGGTTGATAATTGTCAGCATCTCGTGCCAGCTTTACTATTGCATAGGTCCTGACACCTTAACGTAATGTCACCATTGACTGAACCAGTGTTTGCTGTGCAACATTTATCGTTCATGTATCTGTGTAAGCATTCCTGGCATAGAAATGAAGTTGTGTGTGTAAACAATGTAGGTTGATGGCTGTGTAAACATGCTAAAACAAGATAATGGCAGTTAATTTGAAATTTACTTGCATTGTCTCTACAGACCAAGATTAAATTGAGATGTTCATGAGTGATTGTTTTCAAAATGCATCGATAAATAGGTTTTTAACAACAATAAAGAAGGGTGATTTAGCTCTGATAAATACCATGTGGAGAAGACTCTTAGTTGGACTCTCACTTACCATTTCAACGATTAGACACCATGGTTCGAGTTCTCTCACTCGTTTTAACCATGTCTGACACTTATAGCACCTCCAATGCTTAAAGAGACATGGTTTTCTTGAAGGTTATTTGAAAGGTATTCAGGAACTTAATGCTTATCTGTGAGAACACTGTGTGAGTTGCCCTGGCGTGATACATGTGAAATATGTTCCCCGAGCCTTCCTCACGTGCACCTCGCACTTTGCCCACTCAAGTTATGAAATACGTGTCCCATACGTGTATACCATTCATTTTGGACCAACTCGAGCACCTTCATCAATCACCCAAACATTACTTGCCCATGTTGATGAGCCCATTATGAGCAAACATACCACTGATGATCTATCTTTCTTTTCTATCTAACATACTGTATAAAAACTGCATAAAACACATATTTCGCTTTGCATAGATGGATAAACAATTAGTCCTGATGTAAGTAAATAATTAGTTATTAATTTTATACAATTTCTCCCATGTCGCTGTGGCAGAAGACTCCATTCGTTAGCCTTCGGTGCAGTTTTCATTGGTTCGAATCCCGCTGGCGACACATGTTTTTTGTGAAATTGTTGTAGCATGAAGGTAAATGATGGGCAAAAAAAGAAGTTCCGTCATTGCCAAGTGTTGTTTTACTTATAATTCAGTTAGTTTATGCACGGTCAAAGACAAAGGCACCATGGTTAAAGTACTTTTAAGTTCACTCTGCAACAATTAAATTTTTAACTGCATTTTATTGTGTGTTCTTGTTTGTTTGTCAACAAACAAAATAAGCAAAATAACTAGATCATCAGTATTCTTCCTAAGAGTATATTGTTTAATAAATGATTGCTTATTTGAATGACAAGTTTGACCTCCGTTTTGTGACCATCTTTCAGACATGAAATCCGGATATATTTTGTCAAGTTGGTTGGTTTGTTTAGTGCCGCACTCAGGAATATTCCAGCTGTGTGATGGCAACATGCTATCAACCAAATTTCTGAGACTGACCACGCAATCCATTTAGTCGCCTCTCACCCAGAATCCCTATGTTGTCATGAAGTGAAATCATGTCTCCTTCAATCAAACAGCTGAAAAAGTATTAGAAACACTGCTTGATATTATTTAATGAACATTGAAAGATTTGAACCGTATCTACTTGGCTGTGTATGTGAAGTTCATACAAAAGTTTGTCATTCCAGTTTAGTGAACATTTCCATGGCCATGATATGATAGAAAAAAAAGGTTTAATTACATCAGTTGATGTAACAGTAAAATCATCCCTCTGACAGAGTAGTAAAGCATGTATGCCAATCCAACATGATGATACAGTGCTGGTCAGTCTGGAGTTGAAGGTATCTCTAATTTGTGATCACTAATGGTACTGAATGCTGAGGGCATGTTGTTTCTGCATCTCAAGTAAGGCATGCATACATGTAATGTGTATTAACAAATGTGCAAGTGTTTGAGTTTCAAGGGGAAAATATGTCTCATGTACCCCATATTTGTCATAAGAGCTGACAAAAATTAAGTTTAGGTATTTATAGTGTGTGATGTAGCTGGTGCTCACGCTATCAACCACTGGTTTGCTTGGCCAAAACTTTTTTCTGTACAGGCCACCTTGACATGTTGCTGAAATAATGCTGACAGCAGCACAAAACAACATTCACTTACTCAATAAATTGTTGCAACATGATGTTGATTGTTTTGCTGTAAATGATAAATGTTTCAATGAATAAGATACTGTTAGTATATATAACTATTTTCTAATTTGATGAGTGCGATTTGAAACTGTTGCAGATTACCTTTACCATATGAACATACACATTTACCGCATCCAACAGCCATCTTTGGTTGTATACAACAAATACTACATTAAATACATAAGTCCTAGGATTGCTTGGAGGAATGGGTTGAGGAAGTGTTTCTGCTGTTCACAAGCTGTTTGTGTGTTTCAGAGCAACTTGATCGTGTTGAGGAGGGCATGGACCAGATCAACCAGGACATGAGGGATGCAGAGAAGAACCTGGAGGGCCTGGAGAAATGCTGTGGACTCTGTGTGCTGCCTTGGAAGAAGTAAGTCTTTTGTTTTGATCTAATGATACAGGTCCCCGCTCCACAAAGCAATCGTAGAGATATGACAGTCCTAAGTCTATATTAAATTATGGGAGTTACGATCACCTTAGAGCTAGAACAAGTTTGTGGAACAGACCACAGCATCCCATAATAGCCGTAAGAGCTGACTGATGAGGATAGTTTGTAGTGTGTGGTCTATCTGATAGTGGGGGCGGTCGGGTAGGCTGGTGGTTGAAAGTGTTCATTCGTCACACCGAAGACCCGGGTTCGATTCCCGACATGGGTACAATGTGTGAAGCCCATTTCTGGTTTTCCCCTGCCATGATATTGCTGGACTATTGCTGAAAGCGGCGTAAAACCATATTCTCTCACTCACTATCTGATGTGTGTGTCATTGTACCCTAATGGGATCATTTTGTCAGAACATATATCATTTGGTAGGAACTACAGATTTGCCTGTTTAAGTGTTGATTATTTAGAGGCTGTTGTAATACAGCTGAAAAACTGCATGCACCATGTAACAACATTCCCCCCTTCCATCAGACTGCAGAGATAACTTGCACTCATGTCATATGATCTCTGACTGTTGTCATACATGTTGTCCTGGAGAAATAGAACCGGAAAATGTTTTTTTTATCTGCACACATTTAGCAATCTGCCCACTATATTATTGAAAGATTGTGTGCTCAATTGTGCAGTTTATGCTTAATGACCTCATTGTTACTGTACTGAAAATAGTCATTTCTTGAGCTTAAAAATCTGTTATGTTTCTAAATGTTTGGAAGAGGACATATTCAGGGAAATATTTAGGCTGCTAGGAAAAAAGTTGTTGGATTATCAAGGATATAGACATGAATACTGATATGTGCTCTATCTGTTATTTTATGTTTCTGTTTTATATACTGTCCACTTAAGGTTTAGAGATGAGAGATAATGGCAGGGTAGGTTATATTTAGTTTTATCCTAAGCTTGCCATTTCATTTGTTGGGTAGACTGACATTTAGTCCCTAAAATAAAGTTATCTTATCTAAATATATATATAAAGTAAAAAATCAAAAGGAAGCCAGAACAGTCCTTAATTTTAGGCTGAGGCAATCTAGACTTGCCAAATCATTCTAGACTTGAGTTGGATTTCTCTAGGGTCTGGGAGAGAGACTATATAGGGGGCTCAGGAAGGAGCATCAAATACATTTAAAGACAGAATAATTGAAAAATTCATTCATTCAAAATGTTATTGATCATGATTGGTTTTCTTTACTGTTAAACGCTGCTATAGTTCCTAAAATAGGATTATGTTTTGGATGCTGGTGTCAATATTATTAAACATGTATCAGGTTCACACACTACGGAGGGGAATAACATTGACGGAGAGGAGAGATGCATGGCTCCAGTGTCATAGTTCCACACATCATTCATTCTTTTCTGTTAGGTGACTGTTGAATGTCAGATGGGGATGTTATTTCAGCTGAGATTGATTGGATCAGAGCTAAAACTCATATAAATTCAGATTAATGATATGGGTGATCTTGATTGTCTGAGCATTATCATCTGAGCATTATCATCCATTGTCACAGAATCACAGATAGCACACAAAAGTACTGAGAGTATAGGCATGTATTGATTTTACTCTCCCTCCTAGTGCAGACATATTGAAATTGAAGGTATTTGACATTTTAATGTTTATATTTTTATGTTCACCATAGAGTTTCAGCATTTCTATTTCATTCAACAGCTGCAATATATAGCTGAAAAGTGGTCCATGAGTCATGACATTTTAAACCCAGTCATCATTGAATAATGTTTTTCTTTTATTGCTACTTGGCCTTGTGATACATTACTGATATTTTGGCTTAAAGTATGTGCGAACTTAGGATACTTTGGTGAATCACTTCAGTCCTGCAATTACTACGCAGGCATACTAGACTGAAACAAAAAAATTTTAGCATTGTACTAGGGGTTAAAGTCTCTGGCTGTTCTCAAGTACCAACTCTCTCATTTCATCCTTTAAGTCCAGATGGGTCAAAATAGATGTTAATAAGAGAATTAATATGGCTCTATGCCAAAACATAGTATGAAATCTAAAGCAAGAAAGAAATAGGTTTCTACCAAAATGAAATGAAGAATCATATTGAAAATATAACGGACCTATCTGTATACAACCCACAGCTATGTAATTGAAGTACATTTTGTCTGTGAAGATCAGGGGTAGAATAGGTCTTCAGCAACCCATGCTTGTCGTACAAGGCGACTATGCTTGTCGTAAGAGGCGACTAACGGGATTGGGTGGTCAGGCTTGCTGACTTGGTTGATGCATGTCATCGATCCCAATTGTGTAGATCAATGCTCATGATATCAGTCACTGGATTGTCTGGTCCAGACTCGAATAGTTACAGACCACCGTCATATAGCTGGAATATTGCTGAGTGGAGCGTTTAACAACAAACCAATCAACCAACCAACATTTGACATTGATGAAGTCCAAAATGCAAGACAGAAATGAGGATCATACCAGGGTCATAACAGGCATTTAATTAAAATTAGAAATTCTGTGATAATTTTAGCTGTGTATAGACCACATGCATGACAAAGGGTTTAATTGGGTTTGTTAATTACAACCAATGTCTGTTTCATGCCAGCTTGTCACCTTAGTGACTGCTATTTACATTCTCTTCTTACACGTCAGCTGGTGCTGTGACATTCATAGTGTGTTTCTGATTTACTCAATTAACTGGCACACAATTGTACTTATCCTCACTGGAATCAATGATATGCTTGTAATGGTATTGTCAATAATGTGGAGATATTGCAACAAGAAGTTCTGAATCTCAATGCCTCTGTTGATTCCTCACACACAAGGTTAGAGTCTGTCATGGTGAAAACCCTCTCTGAATTCTCCACCTGGGCACTGTGTGTGGAGCCTGTATCTCATGCCCCCTGCAGTCATGTGGCTGAGATGCTGCTAACAGCAGGAAAAACTCATTCATGTGGAAACAGTTTTGATTAACTGGATTGTCAAAAATACATTGGATCTCAAAATAATTTGCTTAAATTGTTTTTATAGATCATTTCGGCCTCTTGTACATGTGGCTCTAGATTTTCAAAACGATACAATTGTCATGACTCTCATAGATTAACAGTCACTTACGATTGTCATAGTGCTGAGATCATTTCAAATATCTGGAGCCAGGATATGAGATACCCAAATAAGTCCATCCAGATTCCTTGAAAACTTATGAAAGCTGTGCGGTTCATTGTTTTGTAATCAGTGTACTGTTCTTAAAACTAATGGAATGTTCTCATCAAAAAGATTTCTTCAAAACATCAGCACATGCTGGAAACATTTGTTATTTCTCAATGTTGCATTGACTTGTAAGAAATATGTTTGTGTTGCAATTCTTTGGTAGACTTGCAAAACATTGTTTCAAAGATCAGCAAACAAAGTTCTGAAAGGACTGCTACTTTGTAAGTTGTCTAGAAACATGGTGGCTTGTTTGTTGGTTTTCGGGTTCATGGACAAAGATGGCCCAGTGGCCATCTCACGGTGGCAGAATTGAGTCCTTTATGTGCCACAATGAGTTAGGTCCATGTTAGGTTATTATCCTGATTTGTCAGCACTATATTCCTATGCTTGTGTTATTCTTCTGTGTGAAATTTGGGCATAGGACATTATGTAAGACAGTAAGCATCCCAATGGGCACCAATTGTGTACCCACCTTCCTGATATGTATGCAAGTCGAAATTTCTGCTCAGATTGGCAAAATCAAAACAAGGGAATTTGGCCAAGAAGTTTTAACATAAGCTTAAAGTATATCGATGATCTCGAATTGTTCAATAATGGTCATATAGCCAGTTCACTTCCACGGATTTATCCAACTAAGCTAGAAACCACCTTATCTGTTTAATATTTAGATCTATGCATAAAAATTCAGAGTGACAAAAGTTATCCAAAAGACAAGAGACAAGAGGGATGACTTCAACTTTTGAGGTGCATCTAGCATGCCCTTTCTATAAAGGTTTCAAGGAACATCAAACAACTCTCTCAAAAATCTTTGATCAGGGTTCCACCATTCAAGGCCTTTGTAAAGCTTGCAAAAGCTTTGCTGGTAGAAATATACGGAAGACATTTCCATGTTTGGTTCTCACCTTCTGTACCTCACACTGATACGGTATACAGTATGGACCCTTTCAGACTTTAATTGTTAGCATTCATTGTATTTTCACTCTTCAAAAAATGTCAGTGTAGCATGCACATTCGACATTTATTCAAGGCAGACAGTCATAAGACCCGGCATTTATTCAAGGTTTAACGGTTTGCCATATTTCAAATGACTGAAATGAGCTGTGAAAGAGAACTCTTTTGCTCATTCTTTTTTCAGTATAGGCCTTAAGTACAGTTACGTATAGTTTGGTTTTACAAAGTATATTCCAGGTATATCAATGGAATAATTCCTTAGCATCCAAATGACGACTGAACTTACACATCCTTATAACATTTAAGGTATTAGGTGATCAGTAGTACTGATACACTTGTCTTTTTTTGTATGAATTTCATTTTATTGTTGGAAAAGACAAATGAATCAGTAATTTCCTTTGATATTTCATATAATGGTATGAAATCAAATGTGCAGTTACAATTGTGATGAACACGTTTACCAATAATTACAGTGTAACATATTTGATTGGAAGTTGTTGTCTTCTCCAAGACTGCTGGAATCAGGTCAGATTCCATGAAATAGCAATCAGATGCATACATGTAGCGTTTCTGTAAGCTGAAGTTGATAACAATGGTGATAGACTACAAGCAATTAGAGAAATGTCCAATTTGTCCAAATCACCATTGCTTATCTGATGGTGGTCAGACTTTGACGTCATTTCATGGTTTTCCTAACACCACCAGAACCATACCGTCTTCTTTGATGGCCAAGTAGACTGAAGGGATTACCCAGTTATCAGATGCTGCTGCTGATGATGGCTGTATTTACAATCACTGAATTTCACCA